GCTGAAGGGGCTGCATAGTTTTCATAAATTGCATAGTTCAGAATAGCTATAATTGTACCAGATGGTTGCATTCAGTTAAGTTGGACTAGACTGTAATACAAACCGTTCAGTTTGTCAACAATAAAACTGACTGAAATGAGAGAAAGACTGAGTGCGAGGCTTTGATATTAGATAAAATGAATATTGATAGTTTACCTTTATGTACAGAATCTGAATATCGCAAAATATTTAAAAAAATTGCAATAATATCGTATCGTGCGTTAAGTATTGTGATAATATCGTATCGTGGGATGTATGGTGATCCCCACCTCTACTGAGCATTGACCAGCCTGCAGTCCTTTGTGACCGTCATAGACAAACATAGTGAGGTACACGTACACTGTTATTGATTTACACATTTACACAATGCCAGTGTTCATTATCTCTGCACTAGCATTCACTGTGATTGAATATTTACATTTTTGTGGGTACTGTATAATCAGAGGGTCAAGCATTTCAACTCTATGTTTCAAACTTCGGTTTTGTTTGGACACAGTCTGCTGTCGCTCTAAAGAACGACAGCAGACTCCTGTTTTCTAAATGTGCATTAAGAATTAGTTTAAGATTTGTTGGAGCATGGATCTTGCAGTTCTTCACAGCGGTTGTTGGATTGGTTGTCTCAGCAACATGTGCATAAAGTCTAACCTACTTGGGGGGGCCGGTGTATTCAGTGTAAACAAAATTAGATGGATGGACTTAAACAGTGTTGACTAACCATGGCTGTGGCCTTTTGGTGGGGGGAACCGGTTGGGATTGGTGCAATTTGTTTCTGTCTTGCTGCGCTTGTGTTGCTTCTATAGGATCTCTGTAAAGTTCTTATATGTGTGAAAAGCTTTGTGGCCTCCCATTTGTCATCACTCCAATCAGAGTTTCTGGTCATGGTTTCCGGTATCGATATATTTGTTAATTCGCTAATTATCCTTTGGCTTTGAAACTGAATGAGCCGGATCAATGTGGCCAGGATTAGTCTCTAAGCATCGTCCTTGAGGCGGTGATGTAAATCTTCTTATAGTTTCCCTGATTTTTCTTTTCGGACGATCCAGTTGGTAAACCAGTCAACCAATCAATTGGCCTCACACCTTTTGATTGAACAAATCAATATTCAATATATTGTTATTCCCAGGTTATGGTTTCATGATTGGTTACTTTAGTGTAACATGTCCTAACATGTCCTAACTTCACCATATTCTATTCATTTTAACTAACAGCCCAGGCTTAATGAAGGTTTATTCCTACAGTTAATGCAGGAAAGCTTCTATCAGCAGTTTTCTTACTTCTGCTTTAATAAGGATTTTACAGTATGCAGCTATGCAACTGTCTGCGATCACATCACCACAAAAACAGAAATGAAAGGAAAAAGCAAATTATCTGAAAGTACACAATTTCATATCGTCATCATAAGTAAGAGAAACCTGGAATAGAAAGCTCTGTTTGTCTTTTTATTTCTTTCGACTAATTTTTGGAGAATGAATTTCATTGTATTTGCAGTGTTTGAATGTGAAACCAAAACCATAAAACCCCCAGGGGGATTCGAACACGGAAAAGACAGCAGTGCTGTGTAGCCTGGGGACATGCTGGAGAGTTGAGTTGTCCACTGTATTTCCAGGGTTTTCTCTCTGTGCTACTGTAGATGACCGCTAAGCCACAAAGGTGAAACTGTTCCAGTAAACTCTCTGTCCTCCTGGCTGCAGGCCACAGCCTCATGTTCAGCTGGGCCATGCTGGGCTCACTCCAGCCGGCCATGTGAGAGCTAGAAAAGGGGCGTGACCGAGCCCTCGGCTCTGGTGTGATTGGTTAGAAGTGTCTCACCACTCCACCTTCTAGCTGCATGCATATCACTGTAGTGGTCTGTGAACCCTGCTGTGGGCCTCGCTGAGGGTGTGAATAATTAGCCACCCAAGAAAGATCAGTGGAAAGATATTTACAGAAGACTGAGCGACTTCAAGGCAGTTCTGTACAGACAAATACATAAGAGCAGAATATTTAAAAACAAAACAAAACATGTGGCCATAGCAAAAACTAACTTTTTATGTATATACTAAAGCGTCCCCCAAAATAATAAAAGGGCAACCTCAAGGTGAATTGACTTTTATGGGTATTCCTGAACAGGCGATTGCAAAGGACACAAAGTTTGATGATTGATGTTATTGCATGACTAGTTTTAAGCACAGTGTGTTTTTGCTAGTATGATTATCAGTTTATTAAGAAAATCTGCATAAATGCGTTGGAGCTGCAGATAACTGCCGATGAGCAGGTGCTGATTTGCTTCTGGGACGTTCATAAAACCAATATATACTGTGTGTGCGTGTGTGTGTGTCTGTGCGCGTGTGTGTGTGTGTGTGTGTGTGTGTGTGTGTGTCTGTCCGAAGGCTTTTTTCCCCCCAAGGACACACCTGCTTTAATCGTATTTTCTTCTTTCTTACAGGGAAATTACAGGAGGGTTCCTATTTCAGCTGCACAGCCTTCACACTTTCCAGTCAAAAGTAAGGCAATTAAACCAAATGATCCAAAATGTGTTGTATGATATGCAAATTAAGATCTGTCAGCATGTTCAGGTGAAATTCTATTTTAATTTTGTTTTTTTTTGTGCCTCCCTGTAAATTACACTCTATTCCTTTTTTATAGGAAGTCATCCATTTCAAATGCTGCTTTATATTTTGTCCAAGACTTGATATAAACTTTGGGTCCTGAAACGCTTTGCTCTGTGTCCTCAGACCTGATGGGCTCCGACTCGGCAGCTTGGCTCAGGTCTCTTCGTTCGGTCCTTCCTTGCCCGTGTCAGATGAATTTGTGGGTCCCTGTCAGAGCTCAGACACACAGCGGCTCTACTGCGCTTTTGCGTCGGGGGCTTCCTCTTCACTGTACCCTGCGGTCGGAGCGGGGCCCCAATGGACGATAGCACGACCGCGAGACATCGCTGGTGTCAGGTGGATACATACCACGAGGAGGAGATGGGATGACTCCAAGGTGGAGAAGTCGCTGCGTTCGTTAAAGGATAAGAAGAAGCTGGAGGAAGGAGGGCCGGTGTACAGCCCGACACTGGACGCAGAGCCTGTCCGAAGGACGCTCCGACAGCGGGTTGTAGATGAAATCAAGCACTACTACCATGGCTTCAGGCTGCTTTGGATCGATACCACCATTGCTGGGCGGATGTTCTGGAGGGTGCTGAACGGACATCCCCTGTCTCGCCGTGAGAGGAGACAGGTGAGTGTTGCACACTGTGGCTGCAAGACATTGTCATTTCTGTAGAAGCTACATTGTGGAGAGATTGTTACTGCTTTGGGTGCTGCCAGGCTTTGTCTGCTGCAGCGTCTGGTGCCGGTTGGGGTTTACATTTTTAAATTAGACATTTTTTTTTATGTATCTGTCCCCAGTTACAGATCCTGATTTAGTTTAATGGTAAGAAAGGGCAGTGAACATTTAATCTTTAATAGTTTTTCAGGAATGAATGTTCTTTTAAAACCTTGCAAAAGATTTCAGTGTGATCATTGGAAATAGTTTGAAAGTGGGCTCACTGACCTTTTTTTTTTTTTTTTTTTTTTTTTTTTTTCTTTTCTCAAACATTCACATAAAGCATGTAATTCTTTCGCGGTCATGCAGAAATGTAAAAACCTGCTGATTTCTGCTGGAATGAGCAGATTTAATGGCTGGAATGTATGCCATATGTCACAGATATGAGAAGACATTACCAAATCTATAAACGTGAAGTGAAGATTACATTTGTACTACACAGTCATACCAGAATCCCAGTGCAGGCTATACTTTGATTCAGTTAGTGAACAAAAATGTAGGTGAAAGGAAGGGTTTTCCCTGGTGATTGCTCTCTCTGTCTCTGCACTGGTAACACACACACACCTCTGTGTGTGTGTGGGCTGCTGCAGTTTAGTTTCCAGCCCCTGAGGGTAAATATTTAAGCCTAAGATCTTTTTAATTTATACCAAACTCAGAGTAGCACAAAAGTGTGTTTATTAAATGAAAAATTGTTTGTAGAAGCTACAAGATCCAGCATTTTCCACATTGAAATATGCCTTCTTTCTGTAGCCCAGAGCAAGAATTAATGCCAACCTCCAGTCAGCAAACAGTTTCCTTTTTTCACCTGGAACAAGCTTTAGCTTGTCTTTAACACAGTAATGTCAGTTTCAAGAATGTGAATTGAGCCCACTAACACAGCTAATGTAAGCTTATTTAGATAATGCTAAAAAGAGGCTCGTGTTTTAAAGGTTTCTCCTGCCTCATGATCAGGTGTATCAGTAGTAGCAGAGCTACAGAGCTCAGGATCATTAACAGCAGAATATGAAGAAGCGTTCAAACGTTGCTCAGTAACAAGTAAGTGAAAGTTTTTAGTGCTTCCAGTGAAAGGAAACGATTTTTTTTCTAGTCCGGCTCAGAGTTTCCACTGAGGATAACCAACGTGAGTTTAAGAGATCAGCTATGACTGAGCACCGATTCAAGCCTGACAGCTCAGACATCTTGTTCTATACCGTTTTATCCATAGCCTCTCAATCCTAATGGGATCAATTATGGAAACGGGCCGCACGCTGTGTTTACTCATCAGGCGCCGGGCAGATTGTGCCTTTTCATTAAAGCTCTTCAGGAAGAAGCTTTACCTCGCGTACCAGATTCATCCCATCTCCGCACTCAGCCTACATCTCTCATTTTGTTGTGACTTTCACAACAAATCCCTAACGCAGCTGTTGTTGATAAATTCTGTGCAACAGGACATGGTATTAAAAATATGATAAATTCGATTATTTACACAGTTTTGTTTTAATACAGAATATATTCCAGTTATTAAAATGACTTCACGAGTATGCTGCATGAAAAATGTAGGATTTGTGTGAAGTAATGCAAATACTTGCATATTTCTGATGAGACAAGCTGCTCGGAATCCACGGCAGCGCGATTCGCTGTCTGGACTGAGGCCCGGTTCGGTAATCTGCCAAAGGTTCTGGCACACACAGGTGTCATTTCAAGGAAGGTGGGCAGGTCAGCTCAGTTCACACTTATGTACTGTTACCTCCAATCCAGCAGCACAGGATGGTGCAGATTTAGGTGACACAATTGGCGAGTTGCAAATGCTTCTTAGTGACTGATTTAGACTTCTGCAGGGAATCTTTGTAGAGCAACGTAGCCTACGCAAGTGGCCGACGGCGGCCCAGCTCTTTGTTGCGGTCAGGCAAACGTATTTTCTTCAGGTTTTTCCACTCTGTGTATTCCCTCACGTTCAGTTTGATAGCTTTGGCTATGTTCCCCCAGGAATTTGCTGACATCCATGAAATGTGGTGATTGTTATTTTCTCACTGATTAATTCAAAAACGGGAATCAAACGTAGGCCAATCACAAAAGTTGCGGCCTGTGTTATGAGATGTGTTGATACATTTCCAGGGAGGTGCACATCGGGTAACAGCAGAGGCTATGTGGCAGGGTATTAGAGGGGTTTGTGGTTACAACATACCTAGACATAGATTTGATACAAAGGTATTAACTGTGTGATGTAATGAGATCTTGTCTGGGAATCCTTCCATGTTCTTATTTTAATATGTGGCCAAATTCACATTTCACTCACTGCTTTATGTCCAACTTAAAATAAACCCTTAAACTGATATTTGGGAATCTGCCATTATACATTTATTTTAATTTTGTTGAAAATTCCCATTTAAAAAAACGAAATGACCCATTTGCCTTGTTACACTTGATTGTAAATTCAGATGAAACTGTGACTCAGATTCATTATTATTTGATTATTCGTGTTAAAGCGTGCTGGACAAAGTTATGGACATGCAGAGATTTTACAGCCGTCGCTGCAGAGTCATTTTACGACATGTTTCTCAATATCCACTTACACAGAAGTTCAGTAGGGTGTGTCATTCTGTGAAATGATGTGATGTAACCTGTTTTACAAAACTCTTAAGTGAAGACCAATCTTTTTTTTTTTTTTTTAAAGTCGCTTCTTTAATATTCAAATTCAGAGATATGTATGCGTCATACACCATAACACTGAGCCCTACAGTATACACATTCATTAACTGACTTCATTGTGATTATGTTAAAGCAGCTGGGATATAAAGCCTCAGTGGAATGCTAATGGTCGCAGGTCAGTGCAGAGGATGACCGCAGCTTCCCCCCATTAAGCCCACACTATGACCCCATCTGCACCTTTTCAAATGGAGCAGGCTCCCTCAGAGTTCACGTCCCAAACCCGTCTACATGCCATTCATCTAACCTGGACTGGCTTTGCCTCCTTAATCTCCTCCTTTCATATTCCCTTACAATACCCAGGCCTCCCATTTAAGGCTCCCTCCATTTGAACGTGTCTCACCCCCTCCTCCCTTCTTTGATGTGGAACTCTGGGAGATGATATACATGTCAATGGGCCTGCAGACAAAGGCCTTTTCACTTGGGCTGGCCTAAATCCTTCACCCTACTGGCCCACTGACATGCAGGTGGGAAGAGCGGAGAAAGGAGGACTCGTGTTTTTGGCCTTTTCCCCTCTGTGCTGTTTCTGTAGACGGTTCGCTGGAATTGTGTCCTGGATGGTCAGCGAGCCACGTTTGGACAGCCGTACAATGAAGTCAGCCAGTGTTGGCCAAGTGCTTCTGTGCTCTCGGGATTGTTCGGGTCTGCGCTGAACAAATGTGCTTCCTGTTGGATCAAATGGACAGTTTTAGAGCCTTGTGAGGCCAAATGTTCCCTTTGCTCTATGGCTCCATGCAAATACTGTGTGAGTGAATTCGGTGGACGGGGGATGTATAGAGGAAGTGCTGACTTTTGAAACTTATTACAGGGGAGATTGTGAGGAGAGACAATAAAAGATGAAATCAACATTTTCACACAGTTTGTGCATTGCTGCTGCCCTCTGCTGGTGGCAGATATGAACTACAATGGTGGGAATGAATGGCGCTTTTTTTCCTGTACCCTCCATGTTTTAAAAAAATAAAAGAAAAGAAAGAAAAATCTTTAAAAAATATGAGAACACTTTAAAAACACATCAAATCTCAATGGTAAAAAAATCATGCATGCAACACAAAATGATACTATGGGCTCCCACGTGGATCCTAATGAGACAACGGCTCTTTTTTGAAAATCCAAACGGGAGTGCTAACATAGATGCTCATAGTCTCACTTAAAGATTCCATCAGTTTACACAGATCTGTCCCATTTGCTGATATTATTTCCTTTTTTAAATTTCCTTTCAGTTTCTCAGAACATGTGCTGATGTCTTCAGACTTCTTCCCTTCCTGGTGTTTATCATCGTTCCCTTCATGGAGTTCCTGCTTCCTGTAGCTCTGAAACTCTTCCCCAACATGCTGCCGTCCACCTTTGAGACACAGACAAAGAAGGTAAGTAGAAATGGGTGGTTGATTATTTATTTATTGTATTTATTTTTAGCTCCACGATGCTGGGTTTGCTAAATATTGTGATTGGAACTGTATGTCATATGTAGTTGTATTATTCAGGAATATTATAAATGTACTTAAGTTGTTATTTAGATGGTTATCTAATCTAGACTATGACAGTAACAGTCTTAAATAGCCCTATATAACATTTTTATCACTTTGACCAATCTGTTGAGCTTGACCAGGTCTTGACTTGATATTTTAAGTCTTTATAAAGTAGTTTCTATATGTTGGCAATAGAAACCACTGGTAAGGATCACAGTGTCTAAGTTATGAGACAATTTTCCCCTAATAAATCATTAGTTGACAGTGAACACCTGGGTGGATGTGAGCTACCTCTACAAAGTTTTATCACAATCCAGTCAAAACTTTTCAAGCTTGTTCACAGACGGTAAAACCCACACTTACAAAAACATGACCTCCTTGGTGGAGGTACCCTGCGTTCTGTCCTGTGTGATAAAGAAAACCTTTCTTTTAGAAGCTGTTTCCAGTCATCAAAATTGTATTTGACCAAAAAACGTTTGAAACAGTTTGTCTGCTGTGGATTCAACTATCCGTTCCAGCCTTGAACGCAAGCGGACTGTAGAGATTCAGACTGTGTTGGTCCTCATATGTCTCACCATCAGTGCTAACATCATTTGAGTGGGATTTACTGTAGTGCTTTTAAGCAAACTGAATTTGTAACCTCTTGCTTTTTAGGAGGAGAGGTTGAAAAAGGAGCTGAGGGTCAAACTGGAGATGGCCAAGTTCTTGCAGGACACCATTGAGGAGATCGCTCTGAGGAATAAGGCAGCAAAAGGCGACGTGACGGAGGAATTCTCCACCTTCTTCCAAAAGGTCTGCTTTCTAACACCGAGCAGTGTGAAATGAGGAGAATAAAAAGCTCATTGCTGCTCTCTGGTGGTGAAAATATTAATTTATTTTTATTTAAAACAGAGTTGTGACCAGTTGATTACCATTAAGAGCGTTTATAGTGGAAATTTAAGTGTTTCTTCCGTATTTTCTTGTTACTACATGCTTTCACTGACTATATTCATTTCATGGATTATTCTTTGCACGGGAGAACAGCAGTACATCTTTTGCATGTAAACCTGGTCTCATTTAAACTTTTTACAAGCCCTGATCTTCTCATTACTATAGATCCGGGACTCTGGGGAGCGTCCCAGTAATGAGCAGATCATAAAGTTCTCCAAACTGTTTGAGGACGAGCTGACGCTGGACAACCTGACTCGACCTCAGCTCGTGGCGCTCTGTCGTCTCCTGGAGCTCCAGTCAATTGGGACCAACAACTTCCTCCGCTTCCAGCTCATCATGAAGCTGAGGGCCATCCGCGCAGACGACAAGGTACGAATCTCTGTGGTTAAAAGGAAAAATAAACCTGTTGTTTTATGTCTGAGCACACGGCAGCACCCGGGTGAATGCAGCGACACTGGCCGCTGACTCTGTGTGACCTCTTCTCTGTGTTTATCAGCTGATAGCAGAGGAGGGGGTGGAAAGCCTGAATGTGAACGAAGTGCAGGCAGCGTGTCGTGTCAGAGGGATGAGATCTCTGGGAGTCACAGAAGAACGACTAAGAGAACAACTCGGCCAGGTAACGACAACAGCAGACAGATGGGGGCATTTTTCATTATTCACTGTAAAAATAAAGTAGAGGTTTGACCGTCTGGAGACTTCAGGAATGGCATCAGGGGTGAAACTCTTAAGATGTATGTTTGACTGCATATTTGTAATAACCTCTGTAATGTTGTGTTTGACTCTGGTAGTGGTTGGAGCTGCATCTCAACCAGCAGATCCCCACCTCTCTGCTGCTTTTGTCTCGAGCCATGTACCTCCCAGATACCCTGTCTCCTGCAGACCAGCTGAAAACCACGCTGCAAACACTTCCTGAAATGGTGGTATGTAAACAGTACAGAGCTGGGATATAAAGTTGCAGGCAGTACTTTAAGCTCAACACGCAGCCTCGGTCAATACTGGAATACAGGCGAATATCCTGCCCTCTGCTTGCTTTTCCAGACCAAAGAGGCCCAGTTAATGGCGGCGGAGTTGGAGCTCTCCAAAGTGGATAACAAGACCAAACTGGAGACCATGCTTCAGGAGGAGGCAGCCATACGGCAGGACAACAAGGACCGAGAGATGGAGAGGCTGGCTGATGCTGCAGAGAAGGCTGCCAGGGTACTGACTCTGTATGATGTCTGTTCAGTGTTTAGGCCAGGTGCTATTTAAGTCTTTGATACCAGTGCCAACAAACTGACAGACTTTATGAGCCAGTTTAAGATAAAGTTATTATTACCAAAAGACCTTAAAAGAGTCTGACCAAGCCTTAGAGGCCATGCTTTTGCTACACAGTCGTGAGTTTTCAGGTAGAATGATGTGCTCTTTGTTTTTCATTGAAGCTTCAGCTTAGAGAAATCAAAAGGTTTCTGTAATATTCCACATGATTGGATTAACTCTAAATCTGCAAGTTTCTCACAAGAAAAACTAACTGCCTAACCCTAACTACTGCAACAAGGACACATCTCCCTTAAAGCTGAAGGCTTCCTGCAGTCGTTTGCAACGTTGTTTCTGTAGGTGTTGCTATAGGGTTTGAACCATGCTCTGTTTTCTGCAGGAGGGTGAACCAGAGCTTCAAGCAGAGAGGATGAAGCGCAGTGAGGCCGAGCCAGCTTCATCTAAAGCCGAAAAGGCAGCCGATTCAGAGACACTGAAGGACACCGCACCCATTATAGAGGGACTCAAGGTAAAGTTAGTAATAGATGATAACATTTATTTTATTTATTCTGTTACTTGTTTAATATTTTTATGCATTTATATAATATTTGACTTAAAGTCAGAATTCTAATAAAGCTTTTCAGTTTAACCCTCTAAACCTGTTTTCTACTACACGTAATATCATGTTGTATTGTTTCCTTTACCTGGAGCTTTAATTTCAGACAACAGAAGAGATTTACATTGATTGTATCATATCCTGATGTTTTTTTTTTTGTTTTTTTTTCACTTGCTGCTGCCTTTTCATTCTGTACCGTGCAGTTTGAGCAGTGGCAGAGGTTTCTGCGTTTCCAGGTTGGCTTTATTAACACCTCCTCCCAAATGATCCCTGATACTTGTTCTATCCCTGAATCTATGGTGTCTGGTCTTCCTCTGAGCAGATCCAGATATGGGTTAAACAGCACTAGCATGTTTTTTCCCCAAGACTGAGAACATAATCAGAGTTAGAGGAAGTACCCTCCATATTCATGACAACATTGATGCTGACATAAACCAGTAACTGCTTAGTGCTTGCAGATGAGAGCAACAACAGTGTAGCGAGGGCAGGTTCAGCTTTGGGCTGAAAATCGTACAGATTCCAGTTTCAGACCTGTTATAAAGACTCGGAGGAAGTTGTATTTTCTGAATGTGAAATTTATTTTTTCTTTTCTTTTAAAAAAATTTAAAACAGCAAATGCAAACGTCCATATATTTAGGCCAAATTGCGCTAATAACCTGTGGTGAGTATTTGTCAGCACTTTCTAACTTATAAAAATTCCCACTCATTACTTTTATTTTTGAAATTTCTTAAAGAGATGCTGTTTGGCCCACGTCTACACGGACCTCCCCTCGTCAGTCCTTCAAGCCGTGTAACATTTCCATCCTTAACTAACAACCTTTGTAGTGCCACAGTTGTTTTTTTATGTGGAGTATCCCACTATGCCTGCCAGCTTCCCTCTTTTACCACTTATATTTAGTTGTTTTAGGGTTTGTTTTGTATCAAATCCACATGTTATACGTGCTAAGTGAAGACAGTGTTTGACCTGGTTCATGTAGTGGTATACACCCATCTTGCTCCCATCTACCACGTGGCTGTGGTAATAATTCACAATCTAAAAAAGTAACTTTTTTGTGAACTTCAGATTAGGTTGTCTTGATTTAAAAGAACATATGTTTATATTTTCTTCTTCTTTTTTTTTTTTTATAACTTCCAGGCAGAGGAGATCACCAAGGAAGAGATTGACCTGCTGAGTGATGCCTGCTCAAAGCTGAAGGAGCAGAAGAAACTGCTGACTCTGGAGAAAGAGGAGCTGGAAGAGCTGAAGGATGATGTCCAGGAGTACAATGAGGTGCCTTATTTTGGCTTCAATGGACAAATTTAATGATTTATTGCTAATCAGGCCTACTTTTTTTTAAGCAGTTTTACCTCAAAATGGAGTATTAATTTGTAATGTTCCAACTTCTTTGGCTTTTCATGAGTTGTTTTATGTGGTTGTTTCGGCGTTTTTTTTGTGTGTGCAAAATTTGCATCTGTGCCCTGTTTTCCAGGATCTGGAGGAGATAAAAAAGGAGCTCTCCAAGACTGGTCAGGAGAAGGCCATAGAGGAGTCAAAGGCCAGCCAGCGGCTTTCTAAGAGGGTGAACCGTATGATCGGTCGCATTGACAAGATCATCCTGGAGCTGGAGAAGGACAAGGTCATCCTGGATGGACAGATGGACAGTGGATCCACCCCACCTGTTGGGTAAGAAAACAGCAGCCATAACAGCTTCAGTGAGAGAAGCTGCCGTATAGCATTAGACAGAATTGGATCTGTCACGTGTAGCTGCTTTCACTGGGGGACTCTTTGATTTCAGGGAACTTGGCGTCATGATAGTTTTGCCCTGCAGATGAATAATTCAACATCTAAGAAATTTATTTACCTGCTTTGTTACTAAGCACCCATTTTAAATTCCGGCTTAATGCCGAAGTTCAAAATAACAATTTTACTAATGACTAATACTTATATTTTTTCAGTTTATTTATTTTGTTTCTATAATTGTTTTTCATTTTGGTGTCTTATTGTGCAGAACGCTCCCTCAGTCTTGTCCTCAGACGCCTCTACATGCTTTTACATGGTGGGCCACATACAGCCCACTTTGAGCTTGATCCACGGTGTCTATTTTTTATTTTTTGTTACAGTAAACTCACTGTAAAAATCCAAAATTTCTATAGTACATAGTGAAAATGGTAACTTTGTGTCATTTCATGTTCATCTATCTCTGATTTACTGTAGTGTAGTATGAATGGCAGGGGGCGTGGTCTATATCAGTAGAAAATGCCACAAAACTTGTAAAAATACAGTTAAACGTCCAAAATATACCCCTCCCTTCACATTTTCCAGAGACCAGGGCCAGATTGGCGTCTTTGGTGGGCCGATTACATTTGACACCCTTGCTCTACATCATTAGTTCAGCCAGTATAGACTGGCAGCTGTGACACTTGCGTCAAATAACAACCATCCTGTTCCCTTTGACACATTTTGTCTTTCATTCAAATTCTTCTTGCTAACTTAATGCGCTACCTGAGTAAGCTAACACCTTGGTCACTGGCTCACATCTTCCTAACAGACTAGACTTTGCCATAGAGTTAGGCTTTGGAGCGTGTTAGCTGCCACCTCGTACCTAGCACAATAGCTAGCTGGCCAAGCTAACTGCATTATTGCCACATGGCTCAGTAGCATAAGCGCTAACCACTACACTAGCCAGATCACTCTAGCTCTCACCACAGCTGCCTGACCCAGTTTATCTATTGTAGGTTGCTCAGGTAGGCTGAATGAATGAGAAATGATTTAATTTGTTTTTAAAAAAGAGGGCTGCCCCTGCTGGAGTGTTGATAGAAGCTTCTAAGGACAATGCTGACCGAGCGTTCCCCACAGTGAGACGCCTCAATCGTATTAACAGCCAACAGGGCTTATGAAATGAATAACTTTAAGTTATTTATTCCCACTTGTGGTTTGGTTAAACAGATAAATCATAGTAAAATGTTATTTTACCATTCTATAGAAAGACTATAAGTCTTTCAGCTCTTCATCACTCTTTGAATATTTTATATTCAGAGCAAACAAAAGCTCTTGATACAACACAAAGATTGGCTACTGACATCTGTATCCATCCTTTTATATGCAAAATATCAGTTAGCGAGGCTAAAGTGATCGATGTGCTCCAACTGCTGTTGAACTAGACCGCTCGATGGTTTTGCAGCTGCGTGTGTGTGCTTGTCTGTAAAAGCCATGAAGCTTTTGAAAGTGAAGGATCCACAAGCAACCTTTTAATGAAGAGCGCCGTTCGCGTTGGCTTGTGACTGCATAGACAGACTCACTGTTAGCATATATCTGATGGGAACGAGTACATCTTTCCTGTTCCGCATCAGTTAAATCAAGCTAAACAAATTAAGCTGCACAGTCTGGCCTTTAGTACTTTGATCTTCTTCAGATTACATTTCCTTGATTTTTAAAGCAACACTTGTAACATGTTTATACTTTATATCGGCAGGTAAACACAATGACAACAGGATGAAAACATCAAAATGTTGCTTATGGATCATTGACCCAAACGCGTCATGACATGTATCAGTGTATCTAACATAGCTTGTCTTTGTAAATGATAACTTTATCATCTTCATTGTCATCATCACCATCTTCATCTTCATCATCATCATCATTAGTGTTACTGTAAAATGGTGGTGGAGATAACAAAGGGAACAAAAGGTTTCCCCCCTCAAAAGTGAATAATACCTTTTTAATGTCGTTTTCGGTCGTTTTGACTAAATTGAGTCCCTAATTCATTTGAAATTTTACAGATTATTCTTTGCTAAATATAGCGGTGCCAAGAGGTAAGCAAAACTGGGGTAAACCGCCATTTGCTTGCTTGTAACATGCTAGCATGGTTTTTCAGATGCTGAAACGGTGCAATAAAGGATCAAACACTGCTCTCATCTTATTCTCAGCTTCCATTTCTGCTCGCTACATGTGGTTGCTGTGCTTCAGACGTGCTAAATGTTGTTGTTTTTTTTGTTTTCTTTTTTAACCTATTTAATGAATTAAATCACATTTAATTAAAATAAAATGATTGGAAATGTTTGATGTTTGTTCAGACTGTACGAAAATCTCCGAAATCTTAAAAAAAAGGATGTATTGGACATTATTTGGCATGTAAGCTTCTGTTTCTATCATAGGGCAGCTTAAAGAAATTAGTTTAAAACAAATATGCTGCATTCAGCATGAATAAATGCGTTTAACTAAATCAAATTCAATTAATCCTGCCGTTATGACAAATTGCACCAAATTTTTTTGATTGGTGTGGTTTTTTTTTTGCTCATTTTTTGGGAACCTTGAATGCAGCATGTTGACCCTAGACTTCTCCACCACATTTTACGTCCCGTCAAACCTGGTAACCGTTTCCTGTATACAGTCTGTTCTATACCTTTAGGGAGAACCTGGTCAGCATCGACGAGCTCATCAACATCATGCGACAGATCCAGAACATTCCCGAGCACAAGCTGCAGAGCATCGCCGAGGCTCTCGACGACAACAAGGACGGGAAGATTGACATCGACGACGTCATCAAAGTGAGTTGATCTGCTATGAGGAACATTGTTAGGGATGGGAAATAATAAGAATTTAGCAATTTCGATTTCATTATCAATATCATATCAATAATATTACATACATGCAAAATGCTGAGTGCTGAAATGTTTGTGCATGTTGGAGGTATGTCCCGTCTTTGTTGTGATCAGTGTTCATTACTCAAAAAGTAATTATTGCACAGAACACTTTTCTTTAAAGTAACGATACTGAATCACACCCAGGTTAAAGACACTCGTTACGTTCATGTCATGTTTACTCTGTAAAATGATCTGAAACTGTCTCATAATTACTATTTAACAATATAAGCCTGCAGGCTAGAGTTCCAGATCCTAGTATAAACACAAAGCCAACAACACAAATACAAGATTAAAACCAACACAAAGAGACTTTAAAGCGATCGTCACGGTGATTCTACTGTAGACACATGAACAGGTAGAAACGGAGGCTGCAGCCTGAATGCTCATCACTTTGTTACCTGTCGAAGTTCAGCAGCGGCTGATTTCACAGCAAATGACGGCTCACCTTATCACGCGGTGGGTTGGGGTCAGTTCTCTGATTCCAAAGTTCAAATCCAAATCCAGTTTATTCATATAGCACATTTAAAAACAGAAAGTTTGCCCAAAGTGCTGTACAGAAACAAAGGGGTAAGAAAACAAGATAAAAAAACACTGACACTCACATAAACACATAATAAACATATCAACTCACACCAGTCTAAACGCTATAGAAAAAAGGTGAGTTTTCAAAATTTAAAAACAGGAAGCAAAGATGCCGGTCTAATATTTAAAGGCAGCGTATTCTAAAGTTTTGGAGCCATAATTGAAAAGGCTCGTTCTCCTCCATGTTTTAGCCTGGATTTTGGGACAACCAACAGCAGCTGGTCGGCTGACCTAAGGGTCCGGGAATATAAGGCTGAAGTAACTGGGAAAGGTATGGGGGGAGCAAGACCATTTATAAACCAGCGTTAGGACTTTGAAATTAATTCTGTCATGAACAGGAAGCCAGTGGAGAGAGGACAGTTCATGCCAGTTAAGAGGCGGGCATACAGTGCTTACAGTAGTCGAGCAGAGTTTAAATAAAGGCATGTGTTAGTAAAGTTGGTCCAACACTTTCTAATCATACAGGAGCAGTTTGTTGACAAACTGCATTTTTCAGCATTATCTAACACAGTGTAAGAACAACTGTACAGTACTCTGTTTTGGTAACTGTTGTCCAGGATGTAAATATGTAAAAATTTTGTGTGTTTCTGTTCTGTGTCTGTATATGTTTTGTTGTTTTGGGTTTTTTTTTTTTGCTGCTGTTACAACCAAATTTCCCCATGTGGGACAATTAAAGGATTCTATTCTATTCCAAGCTAAATTGCTAAGAGATTATTGAATTAGCATTTTGGATCCATGGCCAGGTAACTCCCTGATCAGTCCTTAAGCGCAGGTGTGATCGACTTTGATCACTGGTAAGGCAGGAGGAAAATGGGTCATCATCGATCCGAATTTGGCCTTGGAGCTGCTATCCAGCATGCCATAAGGAACTGCAGTTTTTATAAAATAAACAAACAAACAAAAAAGATTAATCTGATTCATAAATTATACCAACCTCTAGTGGCCATTTGAAGAACTGCACTCTTTGGTATCTACTGTTGGCTTGATTTTTCAGCGCCTGCAGTTTCTGTTTGGAGGGATTGTTTTTTTTTTTTTTTTTAACATCACTGTGGTCATGTTGCCAACTTGACTGCCAAATACATATGTTTTATACACAGTTTTTACTTTTGCTTTTAAAAAACATACCACAGTCTTAATGTGTTTCTAGAGGTTTGATATGCTTTAAAATGAACAAACTCAAAGAGTCTCGCTTGTTAAAAACATTTCAAATGTATGGCATGTTTATGTTTAACCTAAAATATCTCCAGCCCATTTCATCATACAAGCCTTTAAAAGATGTAATGGAAACTAATGGGAGGCTATAAACCAGGACAGGATGGAGGCGTCCAAAATAGTGTCAACATACAAAAACATAGTATCCTGTAATTTCTACATCCAAAATACTTCGCTTTGTTTGAGTCTCACCAAAACGTTCTGGTCTTTCCCATAAGTACAATAGCGCTTTATAAGCATCATCAAAAGTTGAGGGTATTGTTATGTGCATGTATATCCTCCACGTGTCTTCAATTGTCTTCTATTCTGTGGTTTTAAACAAAAAATGTTTGTTTTTTTTCAGGTAGTGGAACTGATCGACAAGGAGGACATCGACATCTCCACCTCACAGGTGGCCGACATCATGGTGATGCTTCAGAAAGAGGAGAAGCTGATGGGGAAGGAAAAGGCCAAAGAGAAGGCAGAGAAGGAACAGGCACTCAAAAGTTAACTCATTTTGCTTCAGAGACACGAGTGTTTGTAAAAAATGAGCACTCTCCATTGTGACTGGTATCTGGTCATAGAGGACTCTGGACACCAGGTTGATCTGGAGAGGTCAAGAACCGCAAGGTAACAGCTGCCTTCTTCTGAAAATGTCATTCTGCTATAAATTGAGCTCCTAAAAATAAAAAATAAGAAATCTTCAGAGAAGGCTCGTTGCCTTTTAAAATGTACAAATTCAACAAGAAACTAAATTTCTGTCATGTTAAAAAATTAAGTAAGATGTGTGGTAGTTTTACTTCAGTATTTATCAGTGCAGGGAGCACAGTGACATGGAATTGAAAGCTAATCGGAAAAATGGTTTGGGAAATGTGTTATCAGACGTGTTATTTAAAGTTGTAGGTGAACCGTCTTGCCTTTCAGTTCGTTCATGTCATCATCTCGGAGAAATGAGCGATCATTTCCGAACTTTGCACAGTCAACATTGTCATTTCTGTCATTCCGCTCACTTTATTTCCTCTTATATTTTATTTATCCACCTCATACCTGTTTGTAAAGTTTTTTTAAGTTGTACTTGGGCAGGTAGCTTATCGCTGGCTATAACGGTGGCTGCAACCAAAGATGTTATTGGTATTGGAAACAACATAAAAATACTCAAAACATGTTGAAATTACAGGTTTAAAACAATCCATTTTAAAAAGGGGCTTCTAGCGATTATATGCTAAAAACTATTTAGGTTTTTCTTAGATAGGACATCAAACTTTTTCCATAAAAACCAAAACTATAGTACTGCAATTTCTTTACATTTTGCACTCACAAATGGGGAAAAAGTACATTTAGTGCAGCTCTTCATAGATCTTCACTCGTAGCTCTTTATTTAATGCCAAAGTTGCACTGAGATGCATTAATAGCACATTCGAGGTACTCCTAAAGTCATCAGACAAAACAGCAAAGATGGATTTAAACTGTGTAGGATCAGTGTTGGGACAGAAGCCACCAATTAAATGCGTCTGATGCTGCTGTGACAAGTCAGTCGGGCTGTCCCCGAATGGTCCTTCGTTGGGTTCGTGTTCGCCCTTCAGTTTGGATATTGAGATGTTGTTGTTGTAGCGTTTTAGCAGCTATGATGTTTTGCTTGTTCGCTCTCTCAGAGCAGCCTTTGTTATCCGTCGCTAAGGCTTTAAATGTTCCTTGTTGATTTCTACCGAAGCACACAAACCCAACAAACGATACTGGGGACGGCAAAGTTTAGGAAAGTAAGAGATTCATTTTGCAGTGATTAGTCTGGAAATCGTCCGCTCAGGCGATAGATGAGTTCATGAGTTGTGTCGTAGTTGTCATCGTTTAAATGCAAAGTGGCCTTCTTATCACACAAATTTTATGGTTCTTATAACACTGCATATTTATTTCTGAGGATTTTTAAGAATTTAACGGAGTTGTGACGTTTTCGATTTGCATAATAATTTAATTCTGAACAAGTTTGGATGAATTTTAAATTTTAGTCCTGTCTTTTTTTTCCTTTTTTGTTCTTTGCACTGTAGCCATGAATGTACGTAGTATGTAAACAAGATTCCTCAGGGCTGTGTGATGATTTTAGATGATTAAATATGTCCTGCTACCTATCCACATATCCCATTCTGTGTTCACACTGCATCAGCTTTTCAATGAAATTTGAAACGATGCTAACTGCACATTTCGATCAGGGGTGCAGTTAATTATTATTTTGCTCATTGGTGCTTCCTAAAAACTTAAAATAGAGTGAGGAAAATGCCCCCTAGAAGACTCCAACCTCATGTTTCCAGTTCGCTAATCCCTCTAATAAAACGGGTGCCGCGTGAACCCACCGTAACGCCTCCAGCCGCCTCTGTCTGATGAGCTGACCTAGTTTACGGTCTTTGCCACCGCTCTGGTGTTCCTCCTGCATAATCAGAGAAGAACTCGGGTGTAAACGAGGGTGACGGAGTGGTACTTAAGATAATGCTGAGTGGACAACGCTTCATTTAATCCATTCCCAGAATCCGCCGTCCTACACGTGGAAGTTTAAGAGCTTGTTCATCTTCCATCGGGCATCGTCCCAGCTCGCATCCAGTGCTGCCTGGCGGAGCAAAGGCTCTGCTTCGCCTGGGACCAGTCAGGCTGATGGGTGCGGGGTAAACACTCGTCCCATACATGGGCCAAAGCCAGCTCCACTGGAGGGTTGTGTTTAGGTTAGAGACGCTCCGGCGGGACATGGCACGCCGTGCGCTGCATAAATCCGCAGCCAGTGTAAACACTTTAAAAGAACGTTGTGACAACGTCTCGTTTACACTCGGCAGGAGAGCGTGGTGTTTGTGTCACCCCTCCCGCCTGACAAGGTTGAACTCTGAGGAGCACTTTGTATATCAGCACGACTGGCCCTGTTTGGGACAGAGGGTCAAAGGTCAGAGAACGGGAAAGAGACGAATACCAGAGTCTAAGACTGATGGAGATCAATACACAGGGTTCCTGTGCAGGTCCAGAAAGGGTTGAAATCGACAGGGACCTTTAATGCGTTGCAGTCATTGCTGAAATGCAGATTGATGTCAGTAATGTGCAGTTGCACAGAGCGCTCCTGAGAGCTTATTTTTTACCTTTAACATGATTTTTGCCATGTTTTACTAAATGCACGGAGCTTCAGTTTAGCTAAAGAGACCCGACTAGTCAACAAGCAGATAATCAGCCACTTTTCCCTTTCTTTTGATGTGCAAACAGCTAAAAAAAACTGGTTCCACCTTCACCAGTTGGAAGATTTGATCATATTCTTTATACTCAATTGGAGCAAACTGGATATCTACCAGTCTAGCCAACTCTAAAATTCCAAGATGATGGAAAAGGGTGAAAAAAATATGTTTTTTTTTTTTTAACTTCCAAAACATCTCAAAACCTACATATTACCACAAAATGATTGCAATATATGAAAACTGGTCAAAACTTCAAATAAATTCAAGAAAACTCAAACTTCCCTCAAACTAACACTTCCCCAAATGATTGTATGTCCTTGTCTGTGGCTGCTGTGCTGTTTAAACTGCAGTCTTGGAGAAAGAAGGAGGTGTAGAGATACAGTTGGCAGCGAAAGCAGTTTGACTCGAGGCTTGTGTCAGCAAATTTTCATTGCCAACCAGGCCGAGGCTCATTTCTTACCTTTTATTCCTTCATTTAGTTCCCTCATGATATTTTAGAAGAAAGTGACTCAGGAGAAATAAAAAGGTGAGCTGATTTTTAGCACACTGTCACTAACGTTGACTGTTCTCTGCACAGTATTGCCACAGTGTAAATGCACTATTCGGGGTTTTTTTAAGCAGTTGGTATGTGTTGACTGGCCGTCTCTGTGTGAATGTCTACAATACAAACCGTCCTCTCAGACTCCTGCTCAGTTGTGGGTGTTGGGTTTAGAAGAACAAACGCTTAAAGGATAATTTTTTTCTTTTCTCCCATTTTGAGGTGGAACAAGTGGCTTCAGCTTGTTAGCAGTACGCTGTAAATCTTTAATTTAAAGTCATCGTGCTGATGAACTGGGAAGCCGACCTTAAACCTTAATGACTGAACGCTTGCTCTTTAGCCTAAGCCGATTCCACCAGTTTAGTTTTTCTTGTCAATTTCTGACAAAAATCTACATATTTTGTGCTATCAGGTAGAGTAGCTAAAAAGCATTGTGGACTTGGCTTCTTTTGTTGATATAATCGTATTACTCTTCCTGTTTGGGGTTTGATGAGCTTGTAGTAA